GATAACTTTTGCAGATATTTAAAATTTACCGTTATTCAGCTTAAAAAAAATAGTGGCTTCATTTAATCACGTATATCTTACGAACTAATTTAATAATCGTAATACGAGATACGGAAAATGAAATCTAATAAAGTTCTCCATAAACCATGTATACATCACTTTTCGATCAAAAATTATGTCGATACTTCGAAACTCAAACATCATCGTTAAAATATATTTTCATAGCAAGCGTCGCCAAAGCAAAGTAACGGGTTGCAAAATTTAGAATGGTTGAGGAGCGGTTTCAAAATGTTAATTTACCGGAACACAACGTGGATCAAACAAACGGCAATTCTCTTTGGAGCGATTTCATTTCATTTCATTTTCATTTATTAAGAGAAAAAGCATTAGTACAATAAGATCATAGATCTTTTATAGTACAAAACAGTGATTAAAAATACCAGTAAAACAAAATACATACAGATTACTTAAAACAAAAATAAAATAAAATATATATCACATTATACATATGCAGCAAAAATCAACACAGATGGCAAGAGAAAGTTAAACATTTAGATAGCGAAGCCCAGACTCACAGAAAATAAATAAATATTGATAAAAAAAAAGCGCACAAAACTTTTGAGCGTCTGTCATAGTCGAGGGCAATCAATATATTCAAGAAGATTTATTGGAGAGATCTCGAGATCTGCTCGCGTGCCGGAAAGAATAGGGAAAATATATCGCCAAATAGCTGAAATAGTTAAAACTTAGGCAATGTCTACACATGCGCCACGGTAACTTTTACCAAAGGTCCACGGTAAAAATTACCGTAAATCCACGGTAAAATTGCCGTGGATCCACGGCTAAATTACGTGGATTATGTGTTGCCGGAGAAGTGGGGCAGAATATCTTTATGCGTAGGCGGCCTTCGGCCGCGCTTAGGAATTATAACCCTTACTTCTCGGAATTCTCCTTTCTGTGTTGTCGGAGAAGTGGGACATAACTTCTTTCTGCATAGGCGGCCTTCGGCCGCGCTTAGGGAGTATAACCCTTAGCCCGTCTTCTCGCGACCGCCTCGCATTCGCTAAGCAGGTGCACAGGAGTCTCCTCAGTCACATCGCAGAAACGACATTGGTCGTTTGACCAGATACCTAGTTTGTGTAGGTGGCCTTTCAGTCTACAGTGACCCTTCAGAAAACTTGTTATTATCCTTAATTTTCCTTTGGAGAGATTAATAATTGCCCTGTACCTCGTAAGGTTGTAACCTCCTAGTAGGTGCTTTGCTTGATGTAGACCTGTAGTGTTGCGCCAGTGTTGATTCCTTTGTATGTACTAGGTCCAATCGCTAGGAATCGTTAATCCAATTTAAAAAAAAAATCTGATTAAGTGGTCTAGTGTGTCCGAATTTGAAACCAAACCCGGGTTATAGTTATTTTTTTTTTTGTGTTTCACGCGTATAAGAAACGCATAATATATAAAAAAAAAATATAAGAATTATTAATAGTAATACGTAAATTGGGGATTTTTATAACCCATCGCAAATGTGCAGAGGGATATTAAAACCTAGTTTGCTTAGCGTCTGTTAAATAGATCTTAATGAAAATGCACACCAAATTGCTTAGATTTATGAGGAAAACCGACATTGCTATATCCGATTAACTGGCCTTGTGTGCACAGTAAAATTCCAGCATAAATTAATTAATCACCAAACCTACTTAATCAAATTAAAGGTTAATGATTAAAAATTATTTTTTTTTTAATCGCGGTTACGATTAACTGTTTAATCAGATTAAAATTAATCATGATTAACTGAAATCGGATTGAATTTAATCGAATTAACTAATTGATTAAAAAATCAATCGATCAATGCCAACACTGCTTGTGACCAAAATAGGTAACTTTTTGAGTGCTTGGTAACTTGGATGTATTTCAAAATAGTGATTCATCGCGCGGGAATGCTACATGTTCAATATTTATCGCCAGTATTTACATGTTTTTGTGTCGAGAGGTTTAAAGTCCAATAGATGAAGGCTGGAAATCTTATCTTAATATTATTTTATTGAAAATTATTATCAGCCGAATTCTGAATACTCCCTGGGAGTTTGTTCTCCGGAAATTTGCTTCTCCCGAGAAACAAATCCTCCAATAATAAACTCCCAGGGAGTAGCATTTTCCAGAAAATTGGGGAGGAGGAAATTGGAACTTCGAAACAGCTGTATGACTTTTTTGACAGCTCAACTCCGTCAGTTTGTGCGGTGTATTTGGGATCTTTAGCGCTTCGCTATATGCACTCAAGTCGACTGTTTAAACAATTCCTTTGTTCTGAGGCTAAGATCCCGTTCAAAAGACAAGAGCTTAAAGCGCGTTTTTATGAAAGGCATGTTTTTAAACGCAAGCGTTTTCTTTATACAGGTGCGTATACAGAGATTGAATAAAAGTGTATTTATATACGTATGTAAATGAGGCCTTGAGCGCTAGAGTAGCTTAACTGACATTTAAAAAAAGTTGAGGTGCACCTTAAAATGCATAACTAGAATCGAAACGGTAATAGCCCGAGGCATATGTAGCATCACGTAGGTGCAATGAATTTTTTAGTAAAAGACCGCATTTATTTTTAATAGATCCTTTTTCTCATATTCAGGGCTATCACGGAATCCATCGTAGAAAATCTACGAATTCGAATGCCTGCTACGAATACGAAAAAATTGCTATCACTGATTCCGAGTGAACTCGAAAATATCGTTGCCAGCTTCGAATGTTGATTCGAAATCAGCTAGTGCATAGGAAACAATAGACATATGTGTATGCCATTTTGCTCACGCTGCCCCAGCGGTCACAATGGCCGAGTGAGGAAGCACTAGACTGCCAATTGAGAGATCCGAGTTCAAGTCTGAGTCGTCGGCAGTGGAGCTTTTTTCTTTTCTTATTTCATTTTTGTTTTTTTTTTTTAATTATTATTTTTTTTTAGTTTAGATTTTATTCTTTTAAAGAGAAAACTATTTTTTTAAATTAATTTAAATTTGTATTTTTTAAAATAAATTTATATGATATTAAAGTAATTAGATTTCTTTCCTAATAAATTGTTGTTAAACTATTATTTCCTCGCTTCAAAAAAAAAACATTCATTAAATAGCGTCTAGCAGATGAATATATGTATGTTCATATGTAGGTATGTATGCCATTTATATTTTACGTCTACGTTTACACAAATATATGGAATTATATCAAACCATAACAAATATGGAGTATAATAAATATTTATTATTAACAATAATGCAGCTTTTCTCCGTTATATTTAAGATTCAGTGATTTTAAATTTTATTCCGACAGCATAAACTCGTCGTAGTGTATCTGTACAAATCTTCATTACGAACGGATTCAATGAATGCTCTCTACGCATTTCGAATTTACGTTCGTAGCCATTCGGATTCTGTGATAGCACTTTCGTAGGTTTCACGAAAATCGACGCTACGATGGATTCTGTGATAGCCCTGATTACTAAAGTTTTTGTTTTTGTAAATAGGCTCCTCTGGTCCTCATGGCCTCACGTAAAATGAATTTGTTTAGTTTCCTTATAATAAAAAATATTTATTGTACCAATGTCTTATTTATGACAAAATAAACGACGTTTTTACAGTTTATTGTATAATAAAACATTGTTTTTTACTTGGTAACTTTTAGGTAACTTTGTTTGTAAACTCTGGTCAGAAAATTTTTTTGTCGTGTGGCCATCGTGATCACTTTCAAACTTTTTCAAAAGTGATAAACTCTCGATGAACTTGATAAAATGATACATTTATCATTTCGATAAATGAACTGTCAAACTGTGAAACGATTTTGGTGGATAAATGCATGAACGAAAGACACAAGATCACGTAAGAACAAGAGAGTGAAAAAAGTCGATTTTTTTAGCGGGTTCTACGCCATCTTGTTTCACTGGAAAACGAGCGAAAAGTAAACAAAGCAAAGAAAACAACGAAAACCAAAATTATTGTCAGCCACTTTAAACGCACAATTTAGGTAAAATGACGCAACAAAATGATTTAAAATGTGTTGTCATGTTGAATTAACTTTTCTTTACTTGAATAAAAGTGTAAAATAGTGGTGCTTGTGATGTAAACAAACGCTCAGCTGACGAACCCGCTTTCCCAAACTTTTTTCTCAAAACCAGTTACAAATACAACGTCGCGTTCTTACGTGATCTTGTATTTTTGGTTCATGGGATAAATGTATAAATTTCAGCAAAGGTTACCAGGTGGTCGCTTTTGCTACGAACACATAAAAAGCAAATGAACACAATGGGCGAGGTAAGAATAAAAACGTAACTAGCCATATAAGGTAATAATAAATGTGGAATTATTTACCAAGGTGTGTTCATGAAAGAATGCGGTTAAACTGATAAATTTAAGGAATTTATTCTTTTATCACTTTAGATGAAGACCCCTAATATATTTGTTGTCTATAATGAATTTAAGATCAAAGTATGAAATAATAACAGTAATTATATTTATAAATTAGGTATAGTTGGGGCCGTCTGCTATATCTTCAGCCCAAATAATTTGATCCTGGCCTCAACAGTTTTTTTTTAAGATCTTTTATTTTATACGAAATTCGTCATTTCCAAAACTTTAGTTTCCTCATTTTTAAATAAAGTTATTCAGGTTTGACTTTTTGGAAATTTCTGACGCCATAATAAATATTGAACTTTGAAATTCAGAACCTCAAAATACCAAATTTCATAAAAATTCAGTACTTTTTTAAATTCTTGGACGTTATTGGATTTTTGAAAATTGAGTTCTGCTTTGTTAAGACACATTTTATAAATGATATAGAAAAAACAAAATTATTCTTAAACATTTTAGTACACTTTACGTTATTTGGGGAACTGCAAAGTTGGTGTAGTGAAATAAAAATGGCCGCCCTTTTTCCAGCGTTAGTATGCCCGGCTTTTCTTTTCGTAGATCCTTAAAGGGCCCTTTGCATTAGTTTTTTCGTAAAGAATTGAAGATCCTACTCGGCCCTTCTAATTGTTATGTATACCTTTTTAAACAAAATATTTCTTTAAAAATAAGCCGTGTTATTAAGGTGTTGATAATTTAACAACCAAGTATTAATATGTAATATCTGCGGTCATAAGTAATAACCGCCTAAGTAGATTTAGAAAGAATTGAGTTATATATGCTATCGTATTCTGCAACTGCTATTCGATGTGTATGTGAAATTCCCATCTCGTCAGCTGGTTATTTAAAAAATTATAGACGAACATAATTTGGTTTCCCCATACGGTTAACATGTAATGTTTAAAATGCTTTTTCTCGAATCCAGGTTTTTCGACTTAGGCGGTTATTGTTTATGGCCACAATATTTCATATGAAATTATCATTTCCCATGTTTAAGGAGTAACACCAAACCAGCAATTACTGTTATAATTGAAAGTTTTCATAAAAAAATTGTTTCGAAAGCTATTAACTCATAACTGTTAGAACGACCCACGTTCGGATTCGTTGAATTAATAGGATTAAACTGACACCAATAACGGACTACTGTTATCTGATTTATTCCCCGTTATCTATTTGCCCTCGAAAGCGAGGACGCCATAGTTTTATTTTTTTTTTCACCGCTGTTGCCGGCAGACTTTTAATTTTATTACACCAACACTATAAACACAAATCCTCGAAAGATTTCACAATTTATGTTTTAGATGCTGTGTATCATGTTAATTGCAAGCAATTCGCCTTCAGCCACGTCTTCATCGCCCTTGTTTGGGGAGTGTTGCTGGAGTGACAGTCCTTAGCCAAATATAAATCTGGGTCGTTCCGGTTACGTAGACCCGACTGTCGTGGGAACGCTCTCTCAAGCTTCGCGTTCACTTCGTTTTCTACCGTATGTGCCAACACTCTCAGTGCTTTGTATTTTACAAAAAACAAATTTTATTTTTTATTTTTTTTTTAGTTTGTATATATATATGTATATATATATGGCGATTTTGAAATTTGTGTTTCGCCCAGAAAAAATGGGCTATTTAACTTATTGTACTTGTGGTAAATGACTTTACTACTTCTCGATTACTATTCAGGCTTCACCACTAGTAAAAGTAAGAGGCGAATATATTTTCTGCAGTTTGTAGTCTTTTGATCACTCAACGCTTGTCAATATCCATCTAAGGATTCAAATGAATTTCTGGTTGAAGTGGGTATCATTTCTTCTGCTTTGAAAAGAAGCATACGGTTGACCCAAGCTTACTTAATCTTTCCGCTTACGCTGGTTATGGGTACAAAGTTAGCATTCGTCTGTGTACAAGTGCAAGAAATTAGTTTACCATGCAAAAATTATATCCTTAACGTTTATTTAAATAAAAAAATTTTAACTAACATTTACGGCAATTAATTACAGTGGATAAATTAACGTAATCATAGTCGTAGCCGACAAAAAGTATTGTACAGCCAACTAGTCTATTTGATATATATGTATATCGGATAGTCTTCTGATAGTATGGCTACATTCCAGAACGCATCAATACAATCGATAGAAAGCGTTAGAAGTCTGTGTTCAAAAATGCATCAAGCCAAAGCAACAGTCTCTTTTATTTCGAAACTATAATTTAAGGAAATGACCAATATGCGCAACCACGGTTAAATGCCGCATTGGAACTTAATTGCGCAAATAAGGCATTTCCACCAATTATAGTGTAGAAATAAAAGAGACTGATGCTGTGGTTTGATGCATTTTTGAACACAAACTTCTTATAATGCTTTGCATCCATGTGTTTTGGAAAACTCTCGTATCTGGTATAGAAAACAAATCAAATATGAAAATTCTTGTTACGGAAATTCTTACATACAACGGATAAAAAAATGAATGTGTTAATCATATACACTAAAACAAAGAAAACAATAAAAGAAATACATTTAATTGACTTCAATTTCCAGTTCAGCTAGCAGCATATCAAATGCAAATATCGACGATACAAACGTATACGGCTTATTATGTATGACGCCGTAGTCGGGTTCGAGGCTAGGTAACGCACGACTGCGGAATAGTTGCTGTTTGGGAGCACGTGACGGTGCAACAGACTTGCGTACATTTTGATTCATGCGCTCTTTACGCGCAACAAGTTTTTTAGTCTCCCGCACCACATATAATGCTTCAGGAGTCGTCATATACTCCCGAATTATCTGTGTGGAACATTAAAAGAAAAAGATGGTAAACAATTATATAGGAATGCTCGAAGTAAACGTCATGAGTAGCAAACTTACGTGGCGCTTGTAGGCGCAATGTGCAAATAGCCAAATTAGCGTACATAAAGTATTGAATATTTCACTATCCTTGTCACACCAGCGCAGCAGCATCTGAGCTATAGTGACAAGACCGCTCTCCTGGAAAGTATTTGCAGTAGTACTATTGTAACGCGCCAAATTCAAAATAATTCGACTGCAATAGCGAATCAATTGCTTGTCGACTTCGCTGCGTATTGTCTGTGCCATGACGCCATAACAAAACGTTGATATAAAGTCCGACTGATTCATTAAGATGTGAGGCACATTCCGAGAAATTCGATCTGGCAAAGTTTGTAAAAATTAATTATCAACTGACAAGTTTATATATTTAATTATAAATTTTTAGACATTAAAAATGACTTTAAGGTCGCGCAGAAATGTATGAGTAAAATTTTACATTAATTTACCTAGGCATATGAGTACGTGCAGAATTTCTGAAGCGCTCGAATGATCGCGCAGTACACCCACCGCATGTGAAATTTTACTGCTTATAGTGTTTGCTGCCTGTGTGGTTTTTCGCCACAGCGCCATGTTGCGGCGTATGAGCCGCATTTGGATGCTCTGGAAGCGTTTACGCACCCGATAGCCCCGCCAGAAGCGCTGAATAACACTTGCCGATTTCCTGCGACGACGCTCTTCCACCATTTCCGGTGTAATCAACGCTTGAAGACGTCGGCGCGCCAACAGTCCGCGTGCTTGACATTGCAATCCAATAACAGTGTGGCGCAGTTGCAAATATTCAGCGCGTTGCCGTTGCATTTCCCGTTTACCGTGGAATTTCTGCTGCAAATGGATAACGGTACGACGTAGAAGTAGAAATTCCGCACGCTGCACGCGCATCATACACCGGCCACGGTACCTCTGCTGTAAATGCACCGTTGTGCGCCGTAAAAGCAAGAAATCATACCGCGCTATTCGCATGCTGAGCTTTGCGCGATACTTGCGTTGCACGCAAACAACCATCGACCTTGTGAGCAGATACTGTTCACGAATTGCTAAGGTTTGTCTGTATGAGCGGAAGAACCGTTGTATGTTGTATGCCGCGACCCGCTTACGCTGATAAGCTGTACGCTCCTGGCGCATTAACAACGTAGCGCGCCAATGGCGTTGCAAGCAAACGATTCGTTGTAGTTGCTGCTGGTATTGTTGCCTCACAAGACGAGCGTGCAGCGTTGCTCTCCACTTGCGCTGTATACAAATGCAGCTGTTACGCATGCGCGCATACGTCAATTGCTGCTGCCGAGTTTGCTGAATGGAACGGTACCAGCTTTGAATGCTTATAGCAGCGGCTCGCTTTTGCTGATAGTCCGTACGCACCAAACGCATGTCGAGTGTTGCTCGGACACGTCGTTGGATTTGTATAATTTTGGCACGTTCGCTTTGATAATTCAAACGAATAAGGCGCATGTTTTTAAGACCACGATACCTGCGCTGCACAGTGATTGCTGCACATTTTAGCTGTTGGAATTCCGCGCGTTCCTTACGCATCAGTCTAGTAGCACGGAAGCGTTGCTGCATAACGGTCGCCATATACTGTATCGTAATGAAATCGACGCGTACGCGACGCGCCAGTAGAGTAGCGCGCCATTTGTGTTGTATGGTCAAGCAGCTGTTCCGTATGCGAGTGTACTGACTATTCTGCAGTCGCATAACTCGAGTTGCCCGATATCTATTTTGTACCTTACACACAACCTTACGTAGATGCTGATAAGCGGCGCGATCCGCCCGCATAGCTAATGTTGCGCGCCACCAACGTTGAATTTTAACAACGGCTTCACGTTTCTCTCTATACTCCTTCTGAACTGTGCGCATATGTAATATAGAGCGGCGCCTTTGTTGTAATTGTATAACAGACGCGCGAAGATGTAGATAGTCTGAGCGTTGTCGCATCATAGAGCGCTTTGCACGGAAACGTTGTTGTACGCAAATAGACGCCGCGCGTAGACGTAGAAATTCCTTTCGTTGTTGTCGCATTGCGGTTGTTGCGCGCCACCTCTGCTGGAGAGCCCCAGCGCTGTTTTTCAACTTCAGGAACGCCTCGCGGTACCTCTTCGTAACACAGCGATCGCGCCAATATTTTTGTATGCAAGAAGCTGCTCTGTTATGATTTGCTTCACAGTAACGGCGATATTCGTCGGCGACAAGTAGCAGCTTTCTAGAAAGTAAACGGCGGCGATAGCAGCGCTGTATGAATACGGTACAACAGCGTAAGACAGCAAAGTGCCGACGATAGCTGACACCGAGCGCACACGCACGGTACCAACGCTGAATCTTACCACTGCGGTTATAGTACGTTTGTAGTGCTTTTGTGCCAAGTGTCGTCTAGTGTGCTTCTGTAATACCACCGCAGCTTCAGTGCGCTCTCGGCGATATAACTCCACCCAGCGACGCGATATGTATCCATGATAGTACGCTTGAATGGTGGTTGCAGCTTGCTGCCGACGGCGCTCCTCTTTCTCATGTATGCGTCGCTTCACCCACACACCTAGCCACTTGCTGCGCCACCACTTTTGAAGAACGCGTGCCGCTGCGTGGAATTTCGGCGAGCGGAATTTATAGATAATCTGCCAAAGCAAGGAAAGCGTCTTCTCCCGGTGTCCATCGACAATATCTGCTGCAGTAATGTCGCCTTGCAACCTAAAGTCAGCCTCACTCAAGGCCTTCAATCCCAAATTTACATTGTAAATTCTCTGCAAGCGCGATATGGCCGGCACGCGCAACTGTTTACTGAGGTCTTCTCGCAGCAATATTATCTCCATGACGCGCGTCAGGCGTATACCATCTCGCAGATCAACGGCGAGATTTTGGAAGGCGTATTAAATTCGTCTAGGAAACACTGCTTATGCTCCAGCACATAGCCGAGTCGTTTCAAATCTCGGGTAATATCGCCCATATTTGCAAGCAACTCTGATGAAAATTTTAGCAGAATTTCTTTTGTTTCCTTATGGGGCGATTTCTTGACAAAGAGGCACGGATTGTATTTGATAATGCGCTTTTGCTTGGCTTTATCCAGAAATAGCAGTAGACATAGCATTTTAGTCAGCGTATACTTTTTAATATACTCTGCGTATTCCTCCGATAGCGAATAAGCGCGCGAATATTTCTCCTCTAATAGCTTGTCGCGGAAAAGGCGATTCAGTATAAAGGTGCTGAGTCCAATAATGTCGGTATTTGAACGCAAATGTATTTTCTCCCCATACACCACTTCCAAGCCTATGCGTAGCCACATTGGATTGAAGCAGAGCAGCAGTTCAAGTATATACCGCTGCATTACCACATCGAGATGCAAATTTCGATCGTTTCGTATACGTATTGCCTTTTTGTTTACATACACTGCCACTTTCGAGCAGGGTTCACGCACCTCTTCGCTCAAATACAAATAAACGGCTGCACGTCTAACAACCTCCAGCCGATGCTGTACCATATAATCCATAGACTGCTCTTCTTTGGTAGGCGCTAATGTTAATTCCTTGTGGCGCACCTCATTGAATAGTTTTCCCACATCGATCTTGGCGTCGCTGTTGGCATCCATGTCTGCTGGTATGGTGACCAGCGCATTCAACCATTTTCTAAAATCCTGTTGATGTTTCTGCACAGCTGTTTCATCCAAATACATAGTGGAAGCGAGAAAGGGATCACAAGTAGTGCTTGCGGCAAAAGGATCGGGGTTAATGCAGAATTGTAGGTACAACTCTGGATCATAGAGCTTCTCTGAAGTCAATGGTGAGAGTTGAATATTTGGTGGACTGACCTTTTTTGGTGTAGTTGGCTTTACTATTTTCATCTTTTTACCTGAGTACGTGACCAATTTTTGGAGCGCGATAAACCAGGTATTGACGGACGCTCAAAAGTGAAATCATTATCTACACGCTGCCGCTTTGGTGGCGAAACCAAAATCAGGCTCATATTTTTGTTGGAAGATGGTGCATTTTTGGATTTAGAAGAAGAGGCTCCTAACTGACGATTTATCGCTGGAAGTAGTCGCTAGAGATTCACTGCTTGGCGCATCGGAAAAAGATAGATCCTGTGAATTTCGCTTGTTTGATTTCGATGGCGAATACTCAGACAATTTAACTTTTGATGATTTGGGTGACACGCCACGTAAATCTCGCCATTTGCCAGACACAGGAACTGGGCTACTGCGACGCGATTTTACGCCAACTTCATTTAAATTAAAACGACTCGATTGCGCTAATATTTCGCTTTGATTAAAAGCGAGATCGGCTTGGGACATAATCCCTAAATCGACATATGCAGATTCGTTGCCTAGGGTATTGGGTTCACCAATTTTGGGTGGTGGGTAGATAGGGGTACTTGCTTCCGAGATTAAACCCCCTTGCGATGCATGCGATTATTGAAAAAGTATCGATTCTGCTCGATGGACCGAATACATTCCATTTCATTCAGATTCGGCATAGAACCTTGACTAGCGAGTAACGCTTCTTGGTGAACGCATGAAAGATCTTTCATTGATTCGGAGTATTTTCGCAAAGGTGTGCCTACTAATTTAATGTCGCGTAACAGATCTTCTTCCCCACGCACAGGACTTGATTCGGCCACTATCTCACTTTTGTTTTTCACATAAGTGTTCTCAGGTTCTCCATTGCAAAGGCTAGTGTCTTCCTCTTCTATCATAGCTAGTGGGCGCGACTTTGGAGTTGTGGTAATTGTAGTGTCTTGTTAAGCGTAACACCATAACAAACGGGTGTGTCCAAGGAATCTGTTGATATGTTAATATTTTCGTGTCTTACTTCAAAAGTTTTATTTGTAATAACAGCGCTGCCAGGCGATTTTTGATCCATATGAAACTCGACTGTCATATGAGTGGTATTAGTATTCTCAAGGAAATCAGCGGACTCATTGGCCGAAGTTAACCGCCGTGGTCGCATGGTTGATAAGTTAACCTTCACCGAATCCACGCTAACAGGTGTTGGCCAACTGGCTAAATTATCCAAATCGTGATGTCCAGCAATACCACTTTTCACATCACCACTGTTTATAGGTGTGAACTGAATCTTGTCGAACATTTTTATGACATTGCTAGGAGTCATAGGACTAACATTTTCTTTGTGTGTAAGCAGAACCGGTGATTTGTTTGAAGAAACTGTGGGCATAGCAGCATTCACAGCTTTGTTGCGCGCGTAAATATTTCGCTCAGAAAGCGGAGATGTGTGAGTAAAGTTTATAGTAATTTCATCGAACACTTCGCGTTTCTGTTCTTCACGTAAATTACATTTAGTATCTGCCCATACTGATCTCGGAGGAGGCGCGCGTACCCGTGTGGTTGATGGGGCAGAAGGCGGTTTACCTGCCCTTTGAGTAGTTGTTGTGGGTGGTTTGCGCGATTGTGTCTGTGCTGAGCTGGATTTGTGCGATTTTGTGGCACCTTTCGGGGACTTGAGACGTAGCGTTCTCACATAACTGCTGTTACTAGTCGAAATAGTAGGAAATTTTCGAACACTCTGTAAAATTGCGTGAAATTAGTTATTTTAGAGTTTAGTGTATTGATATACACACAGTTCATTAGCGCTACTTTAGTAAAAGCACATGGTCGGCTATACAACTGATGTCCGATTTAAATTTGAAATTAAAATTTATACATTTTTTCTAGCCACTTTTATTTTGGCAAATATGTAGCTACAACGTATGAATTAATATACATATTAAACACAGAGAAAAGGCTGAGCTGATAAACCTAATAATTTTTATTTGGAAAACTAGTAATAAATATTAAAAGATACGAAATTGATTCGTACTAAAATTATAAAAATTGAATAACTTCTAATTTTCAATAACCTTTTAACTTCAGAGAATACACATTTCAACTGCAATTTGCTAGAGTAATTAAATATGGTTGCTTGACTAACTACCCAATGGTGCATCGGTTAATGTTTGGTGCAATTTAAAAAACGGTTTTCATATGCAATTATGCTTAATCAACCCCCTTTCTGTTACATATTCAACCACCGTATTTTCAGACGTCTTACATACATACATATGCATATGCATTCTGTACTAAGCGCTAGAATATCTAACTTCTTTTTGCATACCTTAATAGGATTGGTTACGCGGGTTTTCATTATCACCATAACATCCTTACGAAAATTTCTGTTATCCAAAAGTTGTAATGTTTCTTTACAAGTGAATTGTTCCAAAGGATTCCATACCATCTCCATCTCTACAGTTTTGGATCGGGGTATAACGATTTCGTCCCAACTAATTGAAACATTGTATTCCTCGCTTATTGGCTTTATAACACGGACCTATTGGTGAAAAAAGAGAATAATTAAACAAATGCTGATAGTATTACATTTTATTTTTTTGCAGAAGTGAACTTAAATTTTTAGCTCGTACAAGTGCTACAGAGGGGAAATCGATTTAATTTCATACTGGTTGCCACTCAACGCAAATATGTGGGAATTCGGTTAATATGCGGAAAAGCAGGTCAGTAAACTTGCTAGATATGCTTCTTACTAACACATTTTACAAACATGAATAACATGGAGTAACAATGAAATGATGTAGCTCGCATACCTCTATATTATCCTCAGAGGGGTTGACTATACGTAAAATACGTCGCGCCGTCTTTCCAACTGGCACATCTTCGAACGTTACAATGGATTTGGCGGAGAATGGCGCCATTACAACGTCGGTAGGCTCGCGAGATTCTATTCGCTTCTTGCATTTTGGGTGTGTCGGAGTAAGCACCACCTAGACCGAAGAAAGTATAAATTTAAAACAAATACACAAATATAAAGACAGACGCACTACAAACCTCGAAAGCGCTCATTTTATTCGCAGATTTTTGTTAGTCTGATTTGATTTAAACTTATTTATTAAAATACACTTCATACAACATTAATAAAGAAAAGACAGACATACAAATTATCACTTTAACATCGAAAATACACACAATATAACAAAATCGTTTAACAAATTAACTCAGATAAACGGGACAACTGAAAATCCAACCGCCAAATTGAAAAATAGCCAATTCAAGAAATGTATGAATTCGCCTTGAGCCAATCCGTCAATTTCTAAATCTCAAATAGGAAACGTTTGGAAAAGTTACACTACTGCAGTGGCCGTAAAACTATTATATAAGGAATTAAGGTCTGCACAAACAGCGCGGTGCGTAGACTGCGGTATAACCAGGGACTCATGGCTACTCTAGAACGTTTTGAAGTTTATGGCTCATTGGGCCTCCGCACACTGGACTGCACAGTCCGCCTAAAACCGGTTTTGTGTGGACAAGAGGGGGGAGAGAGTTCGAGTTTACCTCGCTCATTTCAGTCCGCGAAAATCGCGGATTGACGGTGGACTAGCACGCACACATAGACAACATGTTTTCTATTTCGTTTTGTTTGCATGTGCCACATGCACTAACCCAATCATGCGTAGTTCATGTACAAGAATGATAGAATACAAGATTGCGCCGATCGCAGCAGAATTCGTGAGAGTAATTTTGGCGTGACGTCATTGTAGAGTTGACAACTGAGAGCGGCGAGAATGAGGGCGACTAGTGATGTGCTGAATTGTCCCCAATACTCGGTACCCAATACTTAAAAAAGATTTCGGTACCCTATACTTCCTTTTCGGTATCCGATACCGATTATTTACATTAAACCCTCGCCATTATATGCATTTCAGGTTTAGAAAAAACTTTCATTACTAATTTATATGATATCGGCTAAANTGTATATAAAACTGAAACCTGTTTTCGGTGGACTGCCCAGTCCAGTGTGCGTTCGAGTGGTGGACTGCATGAACGAAAGACACAAGATCACGCCTTAAGGAAAGAAAGAAAAAAGTTATTTTCTAGCTGTTGAAATCTCGACGCCATCTTTGTTGTAAGAAGTAAACAACGAAGAGAACAAAAAAAAACGCGTAATTGTTGAACGCATGAATAATCATTTTTATTATGCAAATTCTCCTATAAATCATGTCGTTGTGTTAAATTATTCTTTACCTTATGTGTGCACACGTTGTCACAAGCGAAAATTAAGAAAATTGCAGTAAAAAGCCACCACCAAATTGTAAACAACGAACAAATGTAAACAAACGGCTTATGTCAAAATCGCCCTACTTTTTTCATAAGTGCGATTATAACGGGCCACTCTTCTGCTGTCGTGATCTTGTCTTTTTGGTTCATGGTGGACTGCTCAGTCCGACTGAGCAGGCTAGTGTGCTCAGGTCCATTCTCTCGCTGTTCGCAGTATTCATCCATTTCACGTTTCTCACTAGGGTATCCAGATTGTTAAAAAAAAGCGCAATTTCTGAAAAAATCGCCGTTTTTTTTTAAATAAAATTTATGAAAGTTGCGTTCGCGTAGCTGTTAATTGTTCATGTTTAACCAAATCTTACAAGTTTTTGCGTTACCGTACGCAAAAAACTTGCAAAGTAGGGGAACTTCAGAGAGCAAAGTGACATTTCATTTTGAGGGGAAGCTGCTGGTTTCTGCTGGAAAAATAGTTGTGTTTTTTTACAAATTATCCAGTAACTTGCCAGTAACTCTCCAGTAACTTTATTTCTAAGAATTCGCTCTCATAGAAAAATTTGCAAAAAAGTTCGCGAACGCTTTTCCAGTAATAATTTGCAAGTTTCATGAACAGCTGATAAATTGGTAGTTTATTCGCAGCATATTCCCAATAAAACGATATATTTTATATTTAAATATGTTTGTTTTGAAAATTTCCACAATAAAAATCCACAAACAGTTTCCTTATTAGTTTAAATTTCAAACAGCAACATGCGATCAGCTGTTTTTCGTACTGGCAAATTCTTACAAGTAAAAATTTATCCAGTAAAATCCAGTAAAAACTTGCAACTTCAGCTGTCATTTTTCGCTCTCTCAATTTCCCCTACTTTGCAAGTTTTTGCGTACGAAAACGCCAAAACATGAAAATTCGTAAAAACTTTTACTGGATTTTACTGGAAATGAGTAAAAAAACGCAACTAATGTTTGCCAACAGCAATTTGTCAACAGGAAAACAGCTGGTCAAAAACAGCTGGTTGGCATGTATGCAAATCACAAAATTGAATTTGATGGTTTGGAAGTTAAAAATTACAAAATGCGACTAATTAAACTTGTAAGAAATAAGTAGTTATTTGTTTAATCAATAAACTGGGTCAGTATAACACTTTGCAAGTTTCTACAAATTTTCTGTTCGCGCACTATTTTGGATATTTTTCTCTTGTGAGAGAACAGATGACATTTCGCCGGAATTTGGCAGTTCGATGTTTTTTTACTGGAGATTTTAAACGATCGCACCTGAAATCGACTTAGCAAATCTGTTATTTTAAAAATGAGATCATGGTATAAAATAGTTAAAAAAAAAACGAATAAAATACCTTCAGGGTAATAATAAATAACATAAATTACTTATATAGATAGATAATTAATAGAGGCATGCACTGCGACCAGCAGGTCTATTGTGCCCTCAACCATTTACAGTACCTCATCTAATCCTAGAGAGCCCAAAAATTTGAGGAGATCCCCAGGGATTAGCGATTGTATTGCTTCGTTACTTGGCCAGTAGTGGCCCAGGTGCCTCTCCCGTCTTATCGCGACCGCCACGCATTCGCTAAGCAGGTGCACAAGAGTCTCCTCGGTCACGTCGCAGAAACGGCATAGGTCGTTTGACCAAATCCCTATCTTGTGTAGGTGGCCTCTCAGTCTGCAGTGACCCGTCAGAAAACCTGTTATAATCCTTAGTTTTCCTTTGGATAGATTGATAATTGCCCTGTACCTCGTAAGGTTGTAGCCTCCCAGTAGGTGTTTTGCTTGACGTAAACCTGTAGTGTTACGCCAGTGTTGATTCCTTTGTATGTTCCTTTCTTTCCTGAGCTCCTCCTTGATTGTACTAGGTCCAATCGCTAGGAAGGGCTCAGGCCCTATAGGCGACGAGGCGGCCGCCATTCTAGCTAGTCGGTCCGCTTCCTCGTTGCCCGCAACTCCTATGTGTCCTGGTACCCAAGTTAATTGGATTTCGTTGTGCTCCGCCAGGCTGTTGAGCCTATCTATGCACTCAAGAACCAAGGATGACTTGACCTCAAATGCTGAGAGGGCCTTGAGTGCCGCCTGGCTGTCGCTCAATATTAAAATTCTCTCATTACGGTAATTCCTCCGTAGGTTAATCTCTGCACACAGACTGATGGCATAGACCTCCGCCTGGAAGATACTCGGGTACGCCCCCATAGGTACCGAGAGCTGTAGCCTCGGCCCGTAGACGCCAGCCCCAATGCTCTACTTTGAAATTCCTGTCAAAGTTAACCACCTCAGGCCTATCATCTCTGTGGAGTAAAGCTAATGGAATTTGGGAGCCTAGCTTATCCCTGTTCCTTAATGATAGGGTTTTGCCCCTGCCGAAGCCTTCTTTCGCGAAATTTAGTAGAGTTCGCTTTGCAACCTGTTCTATGGTAAGGTGCAGCGTCTCGAGCTCGAGAATCACCTCCAGCGCTGCCGTCGGACATGTGCGCATTGCCCCCGTGATGCATACACATGCCAGACGTTGAAGCTTGGTGAGGTATTGCCTCACCATAGTGAGGGTGGCTCGAGACCCAAGCCACTGCTCCATAGGTGACTATTAGTCTAACTATCATGGTGTACATCCATATCAGGATCTTGGGACTAGAGCCCCAGGTCTTCCCTGCCAGACGTTTGCATACCATTAGTGCCCTCGTAGCTTTGGAAGTGACCGCGTCAACATGTGCCTTCGACAGAAGTTTAGAATCTGGTGTTAGTCTCAGGTACATAACTTCGGTGGCGACGTTTATGGCGACCCCGTTCAAAGAGATGTTCCTCATGCCTGGAAGCGGTTTTCTTCTAGAAAAAGGGACGATAACCGTTTTAGAGGGGTTGATGCTGAGGTTCATATCTACGCACCAGCCTCTTGCTAGGTTTAGTCCTCTTTGCACTATGTCACAGAGAGTGCTCACGAACTTCCCTCTGGCGATAATCACAATGCCATCCGCATAGCCTTGGCAGCGGACGCCATTGTCGGTGAAGATCCGTAGGAGTTCGTCCACAACTAAGCTCCACAGGAGAGGGGATAAAACTCTTCCGTTCGGGCAACCTTTTGTAGTTTTTGTCTGTACCACGCTGTCCCCGATGTCGGTTTCAGCGATTCTTGAATTAAGTAGCCTGGCTATCCATCTGCGGATCGTTGCCTGCACATTGCGTTTTTCAAGTGCCCGGTCGACACTAACATGAGAGGTGTTATCAAACGCCCCCTTGATGCCAATGAAGGCACAAATTACTGTCTCCCCACTCTCTTGTACTACCGTAGACAAGGTGTACAGTGCGGTGTCCGTAGACCTGCCCACTCTGTAGGCATGTTGGTCCGGGTGTAAAGGCGCTTGTTTAAGAGTGTTGTTCCTGATTTCATAGTCAATAACCTTCTCCATCGCCTTAAGCAGAAACGAGGTAAGGCTTATCGGCCTGAAGGACTTAGCGAGAGAATAATCCCTCTTTCCTATCTTCGGGATAAATATAACCCGAGCCCTTTGCCACCCCTCGGGGATGTGAGCGAGCGCTAGGCTAGTCCGCATGATGTTCACGAGGTGTGGTAGTAGGAGCTCCTTGCCTTGCTTCAGCAACACTGGACTGATGCCATCCACCCCGGGGGATTTATACCGATCGAAGGAGTCCATGGCCTAGCAGACTGATCGGTGGGTGAATAAACTCCTAGCCAGCTTCCAGTCCGCTGGGGATGGCCTAGTCCGTCGGCACGATGCCTCCCCCGGATTGGGAGTGGCATCCGGGAAATGGGCCGAAAGCAGGGCAAGTGCCCTTTCCTCTTCGTTGCCTGAGTAAGTGCTATTGGCTAGCCGGATTGCCAGTATGGTATCTGTATGGTCCCTTACCAAGGCCTTGTGCAGTCTAGCGGCTGGGGGGTCGATGAGATGCCCTCACAGAACTTCCTGAAACTGTCACGTTTAGCCTTCCTGACTTTTTTACTGTAGTTGGTTAGACTGGCTGAATATTCAACCCAG